GAAATATGTTATAGGGAAACAATACAAAAACATTTTTTTTTGGCATTTGTTTCGGCGTCAAATCCGACAGGGTTCAAACCAAATAAACAAAAAAAAAAAAAAAAAAAAAAGACAAAGATTTATATTTTAAATTCAAAAATAGAGAATAAATCTCAACTTTACTAACTTACCTTAATAAATCAAAAAAAGAGCTCTTTGCAGAAATGCAAATGTCGGCTTCCAAAAAACGAATGATAAAAAAACTTAAACTAATTTTCTATTGGTGGCAAACAATATTTAAATTCCGTTAGCGGTTTACTCGTTAGTTTTATCATAGTTTTCCATCAAAGATGTAAACTAAAGGTAGTGTATTACAATGTAATACACTTAAAGAAAAATATCCGCTCATTAAATAGTTCATACTTAAACATTGCCGGCCCCTTGCAACACTTAAGGTGTTGTAATTAAAAAATTATTAGGACATTAAGGGCCTAAGTAGACTGTACTAAATAAAAAAAAAAATAATAATAAAAAACAATAAATACATTCTTTTTTTTTTTTCAAATTTAATTGAGTTATTAAGGACTCTAGTTTTATTTAAGGTGGGTCATTAAGGACCCTAGGTGAGCCATTAAGGACTCGGGTTGAGTCATAAAGGACTCGGGTTGAGTCATAAAGGACTCGGGTTGAATCATAAAGACTCAACGATTAAATCGGCGACAATCCCGATATAATCCATCCGAAAATGGTATATTGGGCAAGTGAAAGCCCAGGGCTTTGCAAAATCCTGCCTTTCATCATCATCGGAGCTACTTCTGGCCCCAGAACCAACGCTACCTTACCGGAAAGATAAAATGTTGGATCGGCTAATTGGAGCCCTTTAAAAGGTTCCAAAACTAATTCCGACACGGAGATCGGTGGAGTTTTTATTTGATCCATTTTGTGGACTCTAGCCATTATAACAAGGCGTTGAGTACTTTCGAACCGCGACTCGATCTCCAACCTGCCATATTCGTGACTTCCAATCTTCACAACAGGAATCTTCAGTTTAGAGACCAATTCCGCACAAATGTAGCTATTTTGGCAACACAGGTCCAAAACTGATCTCACCAAAATTTTCCTGTGTGGCAAACAGAAGTGTATCTGCAGTGTCGGGGAAAGAGCTACGGCTTGTCGCATTTGTACATTAACAAACGAAGTGGCCTGATGTTCTCTAGGCTTCGTAGGCTTGGCCTTGGGATGCAGAAGGAAATGGTGGGTTTCTTTGCAATACTTGCAGGTACCTCCACTTTTGCAGTTTTTACTAATGTGGCCACTAGACAAACATCGATAACAAATTTTATATAACGCCACTTTACGGAATCTATTTTCCAAATTCAATTTCTCAAATTTCCGACAGAATCTCAAGGTGTGAATCTTATTCCTGCATATCGGACATTTCTGGCGTGTTTGATGAATGACCGGATTCGAGCCCGAAGCTTCCACTTCTTTATTTGTTGTTATAGTGGGCGGTGGAACTACCCAGCAAAAAATAATTGATGTCATACTGTACAAACTACATCTTAATCACATCTTAAAATGCGATTACATATTTTTCACTTTTATAAACCAAATATTTCCTTACAAATAAAACCCCAGTTAAAAGTGAGAAAGGAGATGTGGAAAAGACATTACAAATAACATATTTGAAGTACATCAAGATTTGGTGAAAGAGTAGTGAAATTTACATAAGCGTGTCATTAAGAGAATGTGTTTTATTTTTGACATCCAAATATCGGATTTTTACTGCTTCTAAAAATAAGATTAGATGTAGTTCAAAGTTGCCAAAAATGAACAACATCCCTCCAATGACACGCAAATGTAAAATTCATAGGTTTTACATCCGAATTTGAAGCACTTCGGGTTACTAGTTGTGATGAAAATTCTACATCTTTTTCCACACTTTTTTTGCTGGGTATGGATGGCACTTCAGCAATCTCAATGGTTGCTACTTCATCCACGACTGGCGGTACTGTTACCGTTGAAATATTGGACTCCGAAGGTTTAGGAGCGCTCAAATTTTGCACTGCTTCCTTTAGTGCATCAACATTTAGAAACGATGAGTTGGCAACATCCTTTGGATATTCATTAAGAAGTTCATCTTCCAACAAATCGTTGAGTTGTCTAACAGAGTCCATTATAGGAAAAAGAAAAGTTAGTAGGAAGAAATTGACATGAAATGGTAGGTATTAATTTGGTAAAACAACAAGTTTGGTTATTGGTCTATTAAGAGTTCCATTCGACGTCCGAATGTCGACGACGCGAACGTGACCATCAGTTCCATTGTAAACTTTCACTACTCTATCTATCTTCCATGCAGTAGCAGGTAATTGCTCATTTCTCAAAACCACTAAATCATTTATGCTTACATCTCTTTGAGGATGTTGCCATTTGTATCTTTTGTGCAAAGTGACTAAATATTTCTCTTTCCATCTTTTGCAAAATTGATGAATAAGTGCTTTCAATTTCCGATATCGATTTACAATACTAATCGAACTTTCATAAGAAGTTCTGGCGGTGCCAGTATTGCAGAACCTATTAAAAAATGGCCAGGTGTGAGCGCAATAGGTTCGCTTGGATTGTCCGGCATGGGACACAAGACAAGCTTCGATCCTAGCCAAAATTGTCGATAGTTCTTCGAAGGTGAATTTACAATCCTTAACTTCCTTCCTAAAATGGAGTTTGAAACTCTTGACACCAGCTTCCCATAGGCCTCCCATATGAGGTGCGCCGGCTGGAATAAACTTCCATGTTAAATTCTCATAACCAATCGAAGAACACATTCTAACTTGACATTCCTTCAGAAAAGTCTTAAAATTTTTTAAAAATCTCATCCGATGCCCCTACAAAGTTTGTTCCGTTATCCGAAAATATTGTTTGAGGACAACCTCTTCGTGAAATGAACCGATCAAAAGCGTCTAAAAAAGCATCAGTGGTTAGCTCCGAAGTTGCTTCCAAATGTATAGCTTTGGTCGAAAAACAAACGAAAACACATACATAACCCTTTGTTATTCGACACGATCTACCCGTAAAGGTTTTTACATCGAACGGACCCGCAAAATCAACCCCAGTGGTTGTAAATGGTCTATCGATATTTGTACGCTCCTGAGGGAGCGCCGCCATAATTTGACTGCATGAACGTTTTCGATCAATCGTACAGCGTTTGCAATGATGAACTACTGTACGTATCAAAGTTCGCAATCGAGGGACGCAATATTCACAACGGTATATTCTTAGCATTAACTCGTTTCCGCCATGAATCGTCAGCCGATGAACTAATTCTGCGTTAAGTTTCGCTAACCGACACCCGTAAGGTGGAATAATGGGGTATTGCTCCCGATAAGATAATGAAGGTGATTTGACTAATCTACCATTTAATCGCATCACTTTCTTTTCATCGAGGAATGGATTTAATGGAATCAATGAATTCTTTGATGGTAAGGGTTTCTTTTCCAAGAGACAACCATATTCTTCGGCATAAAAAGCCTTCTGAGCAACAATAACTAAACGAAGTTTCACCATTTTGAGCTCACTACATGAAATTTGTCTTGTTCTTCGTAATTAAATTGCCCTTTTTGTGCAGGGTGACACGAGTTGAAAAATCTCATTATGTAGGCTATAACGCGTAAAGCTCTATTAAGCGATGAGAACCTTTCCAAGACGTCTTGATATTGGGTAAAGAAAGTAACATTCATTTTCACCTTTCAAACTTCCAGATCAGTATTCATATCATTCAAGCTACGTGATTCCCATCTGGATTTATCCTGACTTAACCACGATGGACCATGCCACCACAATTCGCTTCGAGACAAAGTAGGAGGATCTACTCCTCTACTACCTAAGTCGGCAGGATTATCTTCCGAACGAACGTGAAACCAGTTATGATTACCAGTGGTTTCCTGGATTCGACAAACTCTATTGGCAACAAACGTGGTCCACGTACAAGGGGGTTTTCCTAACCATGCCAATACTATTGTTGAGTCTGTCCAACAATATAGGCGTTTAATGGGAATATGAATGTCACTAACAATATTCTTAAACAATTCCGTCGCTAAAACAGCTCCACACAATTCAAGGCGAGGTAATGAAATAGATTTCAATGGGGCTACCTTAGTCTTGGAGGATAATAAATTAGTACTAATTTCGCCACATGGTGACTCTATACGAATATATATTACTCCAGCGTAAGCCCTTTCGGAGGAATCAGAGAATATATGAATTTCTGCAGCCGAATCTCTCTAATAATTAACCCATCTTGGAATCTTGATAAGATTAACTTGGTCAAAGAACTTTACAAATTTCAACCACTCTTCCCTAGTCGAGGTTGGTAGAACGTCATCCCATCCAATTCCGTCAAGCCAGATGCGTTGCATAATTATCTTGGCTATGATAACGACTGGACTTAACCAACCTACTGGATAAAAAACTTGGCAATGGTCGATAATACCTCTCTTTTCGTATAAGAAGATTTCGCTGCTAAAGGACATACCCTAAAATAAAAAGAGTCTACCTGCGCATTCCAATATATGCCTAACGTTTTCGAACTACTAGACTCCATACATGTTAGAAGCTTGGCGTCAACTAAATGATCAGTTGGCAAATCTTTCAAGATTGACTTATCATTCGAAGTCCATTTTCTTAATTCGAACCCAGCAGACGACAAAGCCGTGATCAATTGGTCTCTAGCTAACAACGCACTAGAAACGTCATGAGCTCCAGTCAATACATCATCGACATATATTCCTTCCCTTAAAATCTTCGAAGCCAATGGGAAGTTCTGCTCACAATCATCTGCCAATTGTAGCAAAGTTCTAATTGCTAAATATGGGGCGCAATTTATACCAAAGGTAACTGTCTGCAGTTCGTAATCTATTATATCTTCTTCAGCAGAACTCCTATAAAGAATTCGCTGGAATGGTGTATGAGATGATTGTACTCGAATTTGTCTATACATTTTCGAAATATCGCAATTAAATACAAATTTAAATAATCGCCATCTCAATGGCTGTCCTATTTGAAGCATTAAACACAACCCTAAGCTTAGTAGTTTTACTCTCAGGTTTCAATACTGGAAGATGAGGTAAATAGCACGAGTGTTTAACGGCCAGATCTCCAGCTTTTATTGTCCTCATATGATCCAGTTCCAGATACTCCTTCAGCACCTCATCGTACATTCTCCTCACATCTGGTTTACGCATAAGAGACGTTTCAATTTTGACAAACTGCTTCAGAACACCTGTTTTCGAAATTCCTAAATTAATTTCCTGAGGAAATTCGGGTTTAAAGGGTAGTGAAACTATATATCTTCCTTTCGAATTCCGTTTAGTGGTATTCCTATATATTTCCTCACATCTCCTATCGGAAGGCGACAAGTTCTTTCGCTTGGGTGGCTCTTCTAGCTCCCAGAACTTCAAAAGATTTTCATTTAAGTTTTCTTCCTCCGCATAGCTGATAAAAGTGGTAAAAACGCTGATAGAATTTTTAGGCGAAATATCGATGGGTCCTGTCAGGACCCAACCAAATACTGTCCTCTGAGCCATTAAACTCCCAACTATGTTCGACCGAACCTCACCCAACACTATACGTGGGTATAAATCAGCGCCTAATAACAAATCTACTGCTCTACTTTTATAAAAATTTCTATCCGCTAATCTTATGTTGGGTAATTCACCTTTTATATCCGAAGGACAACTAAAGGACGGTAAAGTACCTGATATAGAAGGTAAAACAAAAGCCGAAGTTTCCAAAACAAAACCTCTGTCCAATGGGGAACCTATTCGAAAAACACAACATTTCTTCGAAGTAGTAGAAGCTTCTTTATGAACTCCGGAAATCGTTACATTCGTAGAATATGACGGAAGTCGCAATTGATTACGCAAATGTTCCGAAATTTAAGAAGCTTCCGATGCTGGGTCAATTAAGGCCCTCGCTGGATACGTCGTATCATTATAAAGAATCGAAACCATAGCCATTCCCAACGAATTCTGTGAAATATGGAAGACTTGACGATTCAAATTAGCCAAGGTTGCGGCCGAAGTAGCTGGCTCTTGCGCATTTGAGTCAGCTGAAGACGATTGAGAGTTACCAACAGGCTTCTCTCGGTGAAGCAATGTATGGTGTCTTTTCTTACATATGGAACAACTATGTTCGCTCTTACAGTCTTTAACCTCATGGGTAGGCGCGAAACAATTTACACCGCAATGGTGTTTCTTCACTGTATTATACCTTTCAGAAACTGACATTTTCTTAAACTGACGGCAAAAACGTAGTAAATGACCCGGTTTGTGACATAGAATACAAGCACTCAAAGAACTTGTATTAGAAACGTGAGCCTTTACTTTCCATTCTGTCGGTTTTTTGTCAGTACCGGAACTCGTAAGGTCGCGAATGCAGTCCAGAGTTTGAATTCGCTCAGTCAAAAACATATCCAAATCTTTCCATAAAGATAGGGCAGTTTTATCCTTAACGGTCTGTTACCAAAGAGTCACTGTCTCAGAAGGCAGTCTAATCGGGTCCCAATTCTCGGTGGGAATTTCATAAAGAGACATTGCCGTTAGAAAATTACTTCCGCGTTGTAAAGTCTTCAAAGATGAACTAGTTTCCGTTACAATCGTTTCCAAACTGAACAGTTCCTTCAATTGATTGTTCACTAACATGCGCTGATTCTCATGCATGTCCCTTAAGTTCTTCCACGCGATATCAAAACCTTGATTAGTCAACGGACATTTCGATACAATCTCTCTCGCCTCCTTATCAGTCCTCTTTACCAAATAACATAAACGTTCTATATTACTAAGTCGTTTGTTATTGATATATAACGCGGTAAAGAGGTCCCTAAACGTAGGCCAGGAAAGATAATCCCCACTAAACATGTCAGTGTCACAAGGTGGGAGAGGTAAATTATGACAAATATTGTCGAAATTCAAATCATTACCGCCTTAGGTTTTGATTTAGCCTCAAGTTCGACAATCTTAAAATCGATTAATTCCGAACAACGCGCATACACGTCCATGGTAACGTGATATTTACTTTCGACTGCTTGTATATCATCAGGCTCAGTGTCATCAGATGATTGAAGATCATCCATACACTTATCAAAAGCTTTTTCACTTTTTCCCACAACATTTTCAATTCACTTTGTAGGACTTTAAAATAATATACGTGTCGATTTTCCCCGCGAAGTTCATTAAAATTAACCTCAAATTTGACGACCACCGCATCGCGAGTGAAATGTTCTAGTGAAATCAAAGGCATTATCAAAAATACCAATCAAACTTTAAAATGGGAATTATAAATTTCAAAGATAGAAAAAGCACTATTCTATTAGTAATTTTCCAAAAATACTGTATTAAGTCAATTTGACCGACCGTAGGGTGACTTTTGTTTCAATTGCAAAAGATGAAGAAGAAGCACTAAATCACAAAGACAAAATTCCGATAAACAAACAAATTACCGAAATAAATTTGCGAGAAATAAAAAAAAATTGCAAAAAAAATTAAAATGAAAACAAATCAATAATAAATAAAAAAATGGAATAATTAATAAAATTTAAATTTTAAAAGTACTCTTCACTTATGTTGTGACACAGTATAATATTTATACTAACAGTTGCCGTCACTTTTATTTTAAAAAACACCACTACACTTTTATTAACTAATTCACAATTTTCTTTTATATTATTTCTCTTTTCCAATATTTAATTTTTATTATATTTATTTATTTAATTTATTCTTCTTTTATTAGCACGCAAATTTATTAAATTTTATTTTCTTTAATTATGGCTGTCCGTCCATAAAAACAAACACAGCCTTGATAAAAAGGTATTGATCATGAAATGTCAAAAGGGTACTGTATAAACACTGTTTGACTAAGGGTTGTATTTTATAACTGTGGCAAAATTAATTCACAATAAGAATTGATTCACAGTAATAAAATTCCCTTGCAAATGTCAAACAATCAAAATAACAAAAACAAATTGTTATTTTCTTTTACATACTTATTAAAACACACATACGTTTATACACTCTTATGTATGTTTAATTGTTTTTCTTTTTTCCAAAAAACACTACCACTTTTAAAATCAATTTACTAACCTTGTTTTCCAAAGTTTATTTCCACAATGTTGTTAAAGGGCTGATATATTCCTTGTCAAGGAGACTTCCTTTAATTTGGCAATATAAATCTTTGTAATTTTTATCCGGTCCGAAGGAACAATGTTTCGGCGTCAAATCCGACAGGGTTCAAACCAAATAAACAAACAAAAAAAAAAAAAAATAAAAAAGACAAAGATTTATATTTTAAATTCAAAAATAGAGAATAAATCTCAACTTTATTAATTTACCTTAGTAAATCAAAAAAAAAGAGCTTTTTGCAAAAATGCAAATGTCGGCTTCCAAAAAAACGAATGATAAAAAAACTTAAACTAATTTTCTATTGGTGGCAAACAATATTTAAATTCCGTTAGCGGTTTACTCGTTAGTTTTATCATAGTTTTCCATCAAAGATGTAAACTAAAGGTAGTGTATTACAATGTAATACACTTAAAGAAAAATGTCCGCTCATTAAATAGTTCATACTTAAACAGTATTATTAATAGGTTTTTATTTAAAAAAATATTTTTAATATTAATTAAATTTGCTATAAAAGTACTATAAAGAACCATAAAAGTTAGCTTTTTTTTTATTTTATTTATTTTATTTATTTTATTGGTAACAACATTTACAGTAAATTAGTAATTAATAATAAGATTTCGTTTTATAACTAACAAAAATTAGCAAATCAGACTATTATCGAAAAATATACTATTGGGAAAAAATGTATAGGAATATTTAGTGCACACATTGAGTAAAAATATATGTTCAACTTTCATAAAAAAAAGAAAGAAAAACAACAAGGATTTTATGATTATATAAAATGAGTAAAATAAACAAATGTAAATTTCAAGTATGTATATGAATAATATGAATGTATAATCCTCATTTCATAGTATAAATAGTATAATAATTATAAAATAAATATCATTATATAAACTAAGTTATATTTATTATTAATTATTATTAACTTCAGGAACATCAATAAATTAGCACACTGTTGACTATCCAAAAAAATATATTTACCATTAGGCATTAAAATCCCAAAGCCAAGATTTTAATATCCACATTTAATAAATAAATTTTTTTTATTTTCTTCTGAGACAAAAGTTTGCGACAGATATACATAATTCAGTTTAGCAGACGCTTGGGACAAATTGTCGTTCAGATAAATTCGCGATTCAGTGGTTCCACCTATAATTTTATTTAGCAATAATGGTTCCGATTTATGGTAATTTTTCATGATGGCGTCACGCAATTGAACTGAATTGAATTTTACTATAAAGTATTTTCAATGTTTTATGTAACAGCAATGATTAAAATCTGAGAGACTGACATCTACTCCTACAGATTTGGCTATTTTAATTGCGTTTTCGCTAATATCTTCGATAGAGCAAGTTAAGCCACTTATCAAAATATCGGATCGATTTAGGCGCCTGTCCAGCATATTATTCTTGTATTGAAGTAGATTATATTTATCCTCATACACTTTATCCGCATTTTTGATACAAGCATAACAATTGGCAACATCAGATTTAATGTTAGCAATTTCAGTATTAATTTCCTTGCGAAAATTATTAACTATCTGAACCACTTTATTTTCAAGATTTAAAAAACCATTATCCATTCGTTGCTCAATATTTACTTTTGTATCCTCAATTTTGTTTTCAATAGATATTTTAATCTCTTCCATTCGTTTGATAATATCATTGTTTATATTTCCATCAGCTTCAGTGTTTTTTTACATTCCTTACACAAGTATTTATAAATATTTTTACGAACGGCGCTTAAAAATTGTTCAATGACACCAGCACAATTATTGTGAAAATAAAGACTACAACCAACACTAGGCTGAGTTTTTGTAACATTCATGTGGCAGATAGGTCACTGGACAATATTCTTTGGTGGCATTGTTATTTTTTTATTTTCATTCTATTAGTGTATTTAAATATTTATTTATTCACTTATAATGGAAAATATTAGTGTATTTTTATTTTTTTTTTTATTTTTAAAGCTTGTAATAAATTAGTTTTCATACAATCAATATTCATTCCACTAAATTATCTTGTTAATCAAGTTGACAATACTAAATATTAGTTTGTTTTACATATACATACAGTGAATCAATTAAGTAATTTGCCTATGTAAAATTTTATACATTTTAAGAAAAAACTTTATCTGAACAATTATTTTTAGCAAAATAAAGCAATTTGTTTGTTGTATTTTTGAAAGAATATCTTATATTTTAATTTTCTACCATAAAAAGTAAAATCGTGATATTAATTAACGAGATTTTTGATAAAATGTGAACGTATTGTTAATTTTTTAGGTCAATAAAGTATTTTGTTTTTTTAAGTTTTTTGTTTTCTGTACTTTTAGGTTTTTTGTACTTATTTAAATCAAGCCTCTAGGGGACTACATGATCTTAATATTCGCGGCAGAAGAGAAAT